TTTTAAGAAAGAAAGAAAGAAAGAAAGAAAGAAAGAAAGAAAGAAAGAAAGAAAGAAAGAAAGAAAGAAGGAAAGAAAGAACCCTAAAGGAAGGTGGGCAGATGGCAAAACTAAGGAGAATCCCCAAAGACAGGGCATAGTGTAGGAGCCCTGGTGACCCAGTGCTTAGAATGCAGCACAGTCTCGAGTTCGATCCTGACAGGGGCTCAAGGTTGATTCAGCCTTCCATCCTTCCAAGGTCAGTAAAATGAGGACCCAGATTGTTGGGAATACTATGCTCACATTGAAACCAGCAGGGTGTGCTGTCAATCACTATGGGGGGGGGCAGTATATATACAGTAAGCCTATTGCAATTGCTGTTGCTATTGTGAACGTGGTGTGAACACGGTGGCTCATTGGCTAAGATACTGAGCTTGTCAATCAGAAAAGTTGGCAGTTCGGCGGTTCGAATCCCTAGTGCCACCTAACGGAGTGAGCTCCCGTTACTTGTCCCAGCTTCTGCCAATCTAGCAGTTCAAAAGCACATAAATTGCAAGTAGAAAAATAGGAACCACCTTCGGTGGGAAGTTCATACCGGCCACATGACCATGGAGATGTCTTTGGACAGTGCTGGCTCTTCGGCTTTGAAACGGAGATGAGCCCTGCCCCCTAGAGTCAGGAACGACTAGCACATGTGAGCAGGGGAACCTTTACCTATTATGGTAGAGGTAGTGGACAAATCGCTCTGGACTTTTCTTCTGAACATCTTGTCAACTTAATGCCTATGGAGATTCTCAGTCATCCAGGTCACGGTTATCCCAAAGGTGCTTTTTCAAGAGGCAACTGGACTTTCTGGTTTTTCTTTGAAGACATTTCTCTTCTCATCCATGAAGCTTCTTCAGCTCTGACTGAATCCTTGCATTCCCCACCATCCAGTCAGAGCTGAAGAAGCTTCTTGGATGAGAAGAGAAACGTCTTCAAAGAAAAACCAGAAAGTTCAATTGTCTCTTGGGGGGGAAAAGCATCTTTGGGATTTTGCCAACTTGTTCGACCGTTGCTTGGTCCCTAGAGAACTGCTACTGATTTGTGGGAAGAAAATGTTCCCCTGCATAAATGCAAACCAAGCAACTAACTAACTAACTAACTAACTAACTAACTAACTAACTAACTAACTAACTAACTATATTTTGCTTTTTTTCAGGATTCATCTATTCTTCACTAGCAAATTAATTACTATGGTCATTTCATACCTTTTCACATCTTTTAACCAGGACTGAGCTTCAAAAATTTTACCAAGGGGTTCTCTGCCTGCTTGCTGGGTGGGTGTGGCCATGGCGGGTGTCGCCTAGTTGATCTCTTGCATCACGGCGGGGAGTGGTTGCCCTCCCCAGGCTCCGGAGGCTTAATTTGACCCTCCGGGAAGGCGAAAAATGGCCTCCCCAGGCTGCAGAGGCTGGAAATGGACCTGTTTCCAGCCTTCTGGGACTTCCGGTAGGCCTGTTTTTCACCCTCCTCGAGCTTCCGTGTGCGCCCTGCACTTACCTGCATCCAAAATGGGCCATGTGGAGACTCCTGGGAGGGGTGGGAGGGGCCAGACAGGAGTGGAATTTGGGGGTTCTCTGAACTGCACAGACCAGTGGTGGGTTGCAGGCGGGAACCGTTCCGGTATGGTGCTCCGGAGGGCCCACCCGGCTGCCCGCGTTCCTTACCTGTCCTTTAAAGCCTTCGGAGCTTCTGCGCATGGCGCATACAGCGCCTGAGCAATGCTCTGCCAAGCAGCTGGAGTGTTGCTGAGGCTTGTGGAGATGTCGCTGGAAGGTAAGGAGCATGTACACGCTCTGTGAGTGTGCATGTGCAACGTTCATGTGGAGGACGCTGGGCCCTCTTGCAACCGGTATGCCAGGATCCGGAACCCATTACTGGCACAGACTCTTCGCTAGAGGTACTCCTGAACCCCTGCGAATCGCCAGCAGGCCACCCTTGTTTTGAACAAGAGCTCCCATTTATCCGGTCCATTATTCTAAAGGGGGGGGTCTTCAAAAAACAGAACTCAAGGAAATTATCTTCCCATACAAAGTTGCCCATAGTA